GGGCACCTATAGAGTGGGACAAGCAAATTTTTGTAAGGTTTTTAAAGAATTCTAGACACTATGTGGCGCGAAGAAAAATTTTATGCAGTGGTTGTTTTACCTGCTGATGATAGAAATTTTATATTAAATTTTTTTCTAATTCTCGCCATTGCTAAAAAGCGGCGGCGCAGTGATACACAGTGTGCATTTGACTGGCGGAAAAGATTAGCACTTAGTATGATTAGACTTTACTTTCGGTACAAAAATGGTAGCCCAATTGATAACCATTGGTACGGTTCAAGTGGTTATCATTTGGGCTCGGCGCGTCAAATAATACCATCAGACGAATCTCCAGCAATGGTAGAACTATCTTTGGCCAATTCTAATAACGTTCCATAGTGGTGAAGTCATTTTCACTTTCGGCGGTAATCAAAAGAGGTATAAAATCTGTATATAAATGTATTTCTATATTCAGTCTAGAACTTCAGGATGAGTCGCTAAGGCCCAGGAAAGAAAAGAAAAAATAAAGGAGCTGCTAGTCATCGAACTGATTTTATTGAACATCTTGTCTTCTAATTATTGGCTTTATGCTCTTATGACAGATTTCCTCCATTTCTAATCACAAGCTACGCATCAGCGAGTACAGCAGTACTCCTGACAATTTTATCATTCAATTCTGCTGTTGGTAACTATGGAAGCGGCTTGGAGATCAATATGTTGCTCAGTTAAAGTACGAGGTTTTCTCTGTTGGAATTTGGCTGAGGCTGGATATATCTGTACTTTTGTCAAACACTGGCGTTTCCAGATCATGTCGTTGGTGCAGGCGTGAGAAAAACATAGTGGTAAAAAAAGTTGCGAATTGTCAAAGAACTTTGTGATTGCTAAGGAGGAAGTTTTAAGTGTTTGCGCAGCTATCTATCCATATCTCCAGATGTATGTTATTCTTTCGGCTCTAGTGCTTATCGTTAGCATTGATATAGACGCATTTTATATTTATTCCGCTAGGAGACTTTGCAATTTTTCCCTGTTTTTATCTCACTCTGCAATCCCAACATACATTGGTTGTGTCTTTATATCAGTGAAGTATAGAAATGATTTTTTTCAATTTATGATTTTACTATGTTGAGTCTGACAGAAACAAACACCATTTCATTGTGGG